CTAATTCTGGGGGTGTATGATAATTTACTCAGAGCAATATGAACATGAGAACTGAAAATCAAGTATTTCATATTGCCATAAGTTGCACTATATGATACGTATGGCTTAAATGTTAAAATGGTCCATGTGTTTTATCCTATTGGCCAATTTAGTCTCTATGTTATCAATTTGGCCAATTTGGTCCTTATGTTTGTATAATTTAGCCAATGTAGTCCATTCTCTTAAAAATATAAAATATAAAATATTTAAAATTAATTAAAAAAAAACTGTAATTGATTATAAATTTTAAATTCAATCTGAAAATGGGATTTGTTCTTTTTTTTTTTTTTTTTTTTAAAAATTTCACCTTCCCCAATTTCACGCTCACACCTCAACCACCTCCCAAACCCAGCCACCATCACCACCACCACTCCAAACCCAAACCCATAGCCACCCTCACCACCCTAGCCACCATTCCAACCCCACCTAAACCACAGCCACTCTCTCTCGCAACTTCCTCTCTGACAAATCACGAAGATCTTTATAGCCGGTCACCGTAACCTTGATGGCTCTGACACCAATTGATCATCCTTGCTGCAGCAAAAGTCGACGACATTCAGGCCAATGGATCAGAGAGGCGAGAGAGATGAAGGATAGAGTATGAGAAAAACCAAGACAAAAAAGAGAAGAAAAATTGCAGCAAGAAAAGAGTAGGCATCAATTTGACTAAGAACCTTCTTTTTTCCTACAGGAATCGAGACCATTGGAAGAGTGGAGGTTGAGGTTGTGTGGGTTTTAATCATTTTAGCATTATTATTATTTGAGTTTAAAACTTTATAATTATTTACAGATTTTTTATAATTAATTTTAAATGTCTTTTTTAAGGTTTTAACATAATTTTGACGGAAAGGACCAGTTTGTTATTTACAGGGTATAGCCGGCCGGCTATACTTTGAAATATTCGGTTAAGATATAAATGTTCTAAATATTCTATTTTGAATTATAGCCGTGCGGCTATACTGTTAAAATATTATTTATGGCTTATAGCCGCGCGGCTATACTCTTTGAATATATTACGTTTCAATTACTTTTATTTATTTAATGAAGAATTAGTATTTAAATGTTTTAATTAATTTAGTAGAAATTACTGAATAAATACTAATTAATTATATTTAATTATCTTAAATAATTTCGTGAATTTTAAAATTATTTTAAAATAGTTTCAATTATTTAAAAATTCTAGAAAATTATATAAGAATAGGTGCTTTCTCCATTACGGATTACAAATTTGCAGATTAAATACAGATTTCTATTTGGAACAGTTAGATGTCATGGGCGGTGGAGATAGGCAAAACATAAAAAATAACCCTTTGCACCACCCTTTGAGAAACAAAGAAACAACGGGAGACCTGTTCTTCTCTTTCGTATTTCCCACCAAAGAAACATTTCTTCCCCGTGCTTTTCTGAGTTCTCTCTCCCACCTGCTCCAAGATTTTTACTCCATACCAAGGGGCAATAGCTCAAAGAACAGAGATTGAGAACCAAAATAGTTCACACCAAACTAAATTAAAGTGCAATCACTGACAGCAAACAATAAGAGCTTCTCCACAAGAGTTAATTTTTCTCTAGTTTTTATTTTTATTTTTTCTGACAGCAAACCCAAAAGGCACCAGCCTCTCCTCAAATCTCTCAGAAGAGTCTCTCAACAGTTTTTTCTCTTTCTTTTTTCCTTGTACCGATGGAATCAGACGCAGAAGACACCAAGTACCAAATGACCCAAAACCTCCTCCCTCTTTGGATTCAAAATGATGCCTTTAATTTTCTTGGATTTATCATAACCGCTACCCTATGTAATGATGTTGATGTTTTTATGAAAATAATATATTTGTGTAATGCATTTTCTATCAGTATAAATTTATATTTTTCCTGAGCCAAAACATTAAAAAAATGAAAACATAATCATGATGGATCCATAATACTATACTAGCCCCTTGGCACATACTCACGTGAGCCAATTGGTTTTCTTTTTTCTTTTTTTATTTTCTTTTTAGAATTAAGAAAAAGATAACATGGGTAGCTATGTTCTATAAAAATAGGACCTATTATATGATTTAGTTTTTAATTTTAATTTTTTTAATATGAAATAGTGTGAATTTACCATATTATCCTCATTTAATTAATAATTTCAATTCTAAATGTTTGAATTAACCAATGGCATTTTTTGGTATTTTGAATGTTTCACCATTTTCTGCCTTTTACTTTATATATATAAATTTAATATTGAATGCTAGTTAATGTTCAACGTTTGAACCTGTGCAACGTATATTATAGCTCCCTCACATACGCATAACACATTTGGTACAATTTAATTTTAAACAAGAAATTTTGTTATATTTAGAACAAAGTGTTATATTTAACATATTACTCACAGAAAGATTTGTACAGTGGTTCTCTTACACATACGTCCGGTAAGGAAAATTATTTAATGTCATCATGTACGGAAGCACCAATTGAAAATATATATATATATATATATATTTTTTGACATAACGAATTGAAAAGTATTTAATATCATTACATTGGTCAAATAGGCACATATTCCGCAAATATTTGTTGATCCTTATATGAATCCAAATACTCATAAGCATTTGGATTTGTTGTTGATTGTGCATTGGAAAAAGGAATGTCCAACGGAAAATTATTATTACAATAATAGTGAATTATGATTACAAGGAAATTTTTCAATAAAAACGGAAAATTTTTCAATAAAAATGGAAAATTTAATGTCATCATGTACAAAGAAGGAAAAAAAAACCAATTTAATATAATGAATACAAAACGCCTATAAATATTGCCCTGCAGACTCACAAACAATACGACCACTATTCTAAGAGAGGAGAATTTCAGTACTAAACTAGAAACCAATTACTCCTACTTAGAAAATGGTGAAGGCTTCCTCCATAACAGTGTGCTTGCTTCTCCTCCTTGTTGTGGCACATGGTAAGCATATCCTCATCTCATCTCTTTTATAAATATCTTGGTAATGTGCATACTATATTGTCGTCGATCTTCAAATTAATTGTTGGATATACATATATTTAGGTTTGCGAGATGGAGTTAAAAGTGGGAAATTTGAACATGCAAAGAAGGTTTCGTCCCCTTCCCCGTCGTCGGAAGTCTATCATCTAGAATGTGAATCTAGTAGCCAGTGCTATGGTTGCAATCCTCCTAGCTGCAATAATTGTATAGATGGAACTTGTGCTTGTTATTGCTGAAAAGATATCAAGAATTAAGCTTGTAACTTGCTCAAATTCAAGAACACTTCAGCTCTCTGCTTGTAGTACTAATAAAGAAGATCAATTTTGATCTTTGTAATAATATTCTATTATATTTAGTGCATTCTCATGGAAGTATTAATTTCTGAATATGAATCGTTTCTCTTTTCGTTGTGTTTTCTTCAATCATTGGAAGAGTGAAGATTTATCGTTTCATACATTACTTCATTTGTCAAATCATACAAAGCAATTTAGATAATTTGATTCAGTCTAGCTAGTGTGACCAATACTTATTAATGTAAAAATATATGATTTCATGGACAAACATGCGTTAACGGTACAACTCTAAGATACCAAAATGTAACTGAAATTAATCCAATTTAAAATAGAGTTAATTACATTTTTGGTTCTATATTTGCATATTTGCTTTTGATGATTGACATGTTACATATTTGGTCATCTTGTGTAATCCGCTTCCGCTGCGCACAATAGTTGGAGAGTGTTGGAACGTTTTGGTCAATATAAACATGGCACATTTCCAACTCCATCATTGGGATTCTGGGATGAACAACACATTTTCCAACTGTTGGAATTTTCATATCTGTTATACATGTTTCGATCTGTTATTCAGTGGGATATCTTCATCTCATCCCTTCTATAAATATCTTGGTAATGTGCATGCTATATTGTTGTTCTGTGGGATACTCTCAACAAAAACATTGACAATTGCTTTTGCTTTGTTAAAATTATAATCGATTAACTACGCTCTCTCTTTCTCCCTTGTCTCTTAGGTTTTCTTAATAAGAAAGAGTAGCAGTATTTCATATTGCTAATGTTGGAATTTTAAGAAGGTTTTAAAAAATTTACTGTTTTGATTTGTTTAATTATTTTGGTTGTTTTATTTTATTTATTGTAGGGTTATAAATATTTAATTTCCAAGTTTTATTTCTATATTGAATGTGTTTTAATGTTCTAGTTTAATGTGGTGGTGGTTACATGTTCTTGGATGCCTATAAAAAGCCACTCCTCCTTCACATTTGAGATACTACTAAAATACCTCAATATAGACAACAATCTGTTTCTCTTCTTCTACCTTCATACTATTTATACTTTTGATTATTATTTTTGAGCAATGATTCTGTGACTTGGAGATCTATATCCGACTGTGAACGTGCTCATAGTGAATCTTGAGCATATGTATTGGGGGTCGTGCCTTGGAGTATTGTAGACCGTCAGTACTTGCCAGGGCCGGCCTTGAGATTTTGGCTGCCCTGTGCAAAACTTAAATTGAGGCTCTCACATAATCTAACACAAACTTACACCATGGCATACAACAATTTTATTTTTTAAAGTAAAAAATCATCATCAATTAGCATGCAAATCACAGAGAAATTATAGAATGGTACTGTATCCCCATGTCAGTTGATGAAACTTCCATTTAAAATTTGCCTCATGTTTAGGTTTTTTACAGCTGAATTTAGCCCTGTATCTTAAAAAAATTATAAAAAAAAACTTGAAAGAAAAAATATACCCAGTAACCACTCCCTCAACGACAAAGCCCCCCACCCCAGGCTCCATATTCTATATCATTGATTAATCATTGTCTACTGTCTAAAGTTGGTTCATAAACTTCCTTCCCCTATATCATTGGACCAAACCAAACAAGTAGTGTGACTGAGCAAGTAGAAACCTTGGGCATTGATTAATCACTTTAAGATAGCAGAGCACAACTAGCTGAAGAAAATTTCAATTTAGATGACTTAAACAAATTCTAACAGATGTTTTGGAGCAATCAGGGCAGCTAAAATGACCTCTAGATTTACAGTTGGTGCAAGAAATGGATCTTACTTTCGAATCACCACCTCCAACTGATTCATAGAGGTCATGAATTTGATTTAAACCAAACAGTCCACCTTCTTTGATTAATCCAACTCCTTTGCATCTTGAGCATGCTATCATCCTCAAATTACTGTCTACACCCCTTGCACATTCCCAAAGTACTGAATATTCAAAAGATTCATATGCAGCAACACATAAATCAGAATTCACAAATACATCTGAAAATATTGATATATTCCAAGATAGACAAATCCCCATTATCATTTAAGCCAATGAACTTCCCCCAGCAAGTATGCATGCAACAAGTATAGAACCACAAAATAGACAAATCCCCCAAGCAAGTGGTCTGCATTATTCGCAAAATCTGAAGAAGCAAGTAGAAACTGAAACTGGATGACACATTTTACCCATTATCATTGTTGTAGTCAATTTGTCTACAAGTGCTCCAACATCCAAGGTTGCCTTTACAATTAAAATTGATTTCTACCCTTTACAACATAGTGACCCACACCACATGGAAACTTTTCATTGTAAGGATATTTACGCAAGCAATTCTTTGAAACTAATTACAAGTTGATGAAGATAATGGAGCTGAAATGAACTCAAACATTACAAAGAGTCAAAGACAAGCCTTTTATGAACAATTTTGGTTACCTGCGCTGAGAGACAGAGATGAAAGCGTCAACCTTTCTTTGGGGAAGCAATGGCGTAATCTTGTTGCTTTCTTGCCTCTGTTTTGGGGTTTTATGAATTGAACCATTTTGGGGGAACTTAAATTTTTTGCCCCTGCATTCTAAGCTAATTTCCATCCAACTGATGAAACGTAATCACTTACATTTTTGTTTTTTTGGGTAAGAAAGAACCCTTTACAAACCAAAGAAACTAAAAGAACCCTTAACAAACCAAAAAAACTAGGCAACAATAATCATACGATGTTTAGACAACCCCCAACAGTTCATCGGCCAACACCGAGCCAAGCCAACCAGGAGACGCATACACAGGTCCAGAATCCAGATTATGACTCCAAGTAGCAAAACTGTCAGTATTCTTCTCCCTATAAATATGATAAGTCTCATAGCTCTCAAACTTGTTTAGGATCTCCAAGCAGCTGGAAACCAACGCAGCAAGAGGATGGAGGCAATGAAGTTTACGGTATCTATGAAAGAGCATAGCCGCGCGGCTATCAGTTTAAAGAAATTCTATTTATAGAGTAGAGCCAGGCGGCTATACTTATGTAATATTATATTTATCGCGTATAGCCGCGCGGCTATAATATTTTCACAATAATACGCGCGAGCGCTCTTCTTTTTAATTTTTAATTTTTCTAAATAGGGAAGCCGCGCGGCTATACTCCGAATTATTTTTTATATAAAATACTGGGGTAATTTTTTAATTCTTTTAATAAATAGTATAGCCGATCGGCTATAATATTTTCACAATAACACACTCAGCGTTAGGCGGTTAACTTTTTTTTCTCTAAATAGTATAGCCGCTCGGCTATACTGTGAATTATTTTTTTATAGGATTTTTTTTTAAATTTTGTTTAGGCTATACTCTTTACTGTTTAAATAAAAATTGACTGACCATAAATAAAAATTAAAAATTTTGACCCAAAAAATACACATACAAAATTCAGGTTAAATGATAATAAAAATTTAATTTGACAAAGAAGAAGAGAATAAAAATTTAATCAATGATTAAATGTTGTTAATCTATGACCCTGCAAATCTACACTGTAACTGTGTCCTCCTGACCGCTGGGCATGAGGCGCCGAAACACAAAAGAGTCAGCGAATTGACTTCACGCCATCTCCAAGCAATCGAAAATTCTCCCAAAAATTATTCCAAAACTCGGGAAAAGTAATTTCTTGCTGTTTCGCTTTCACGCGTTAACAGCTTCGACCAAACACCGTCTTGGTTAACGGATACCGTTTCCCAAAATTTGGGACATTTCAGCTTCCGAAAGATGAGTTCTTGACTCGCCCCCAAGGTTCGGCTTTCTTTGTTGTGTTCAATTTCGACGACCCCATGGCTGCGACCAACTCCATTGGCAACACCGAAATCAATTGGGACAAGTATGTTTGTTTCGATTTTCACTTTTTGTTTGATTCATTGACAAATCCCATTGCTTGCTTTTTATCTGTTATCTTTTGGGTTATAACTGTTATTTTTTGTAGAGAAATTGGTGCTGTAGATTGATTGACTGTATTGCTGCGAAATGTTGAATTGATTATGGAATTAGAAAGGACATCTAAAACCTACCTACCTATTTATTGATTAATATGGATTTGATTCTCAATTAAGTGAATATTGTTCTCTGTTGAACTCATTAAGTTTGTATCCTTATTGATAAGACTAAATTTTTTGCTGTGAAATGTTGGATTGATTAAGGAATTAAAAAGGAAATCTAAAACCTACCCACAGATTGATTAATATGGATTTTGTTCTCAATTAAGTGAATATTCTGTGCTGTTGAACTCATAAGTTTGTATCCCTACTTATGCAGGCTTGATAAGACTAAATTTTATGTGGTTGGAGCTGGCTTGTTTACAGGGGTCACAGTGGCACTGTACCCGGTTTCTGTTGTGAAAACCAGGCTTCAAGTTGCTTCCAAAGATGCTCTAGAGAGGGATACATTTTCTGTGGTTAGAGGCATTTTGAAAGCAGATGGTATTCCTGGTTTGTACAGAGGTTTTGGCACAGTAATCACTGGTGCAATTCCTGCTAGGATTATATTTCTCACTGCTTTGGAGACCACCAAGGTGGCTGCTTTCAAGATGGTTGAGCCCTTCAAGTTATCTGAGCCTACAGAGGCAGCTTTGGCTAATGGACTAGCTGGGATGACCGCCTCACTTTTCTCTCAGGCTGTGTTTGTCCCTATTGATGTGGTAAATACCTTTACAGGCTCCATCACTTGTCTTGCTTGAGCATTTTTGTAGTTAGGGGTTTGAGATAACTAATTTTTGAGTAATGGGTTTTCTTTAGATTAGTCAAAGATTGATGGTGCAAGGGTATTCGGGCCATGCAAAGTACAGCGGGGGGGATGGATGTTGCACGTAAGGTTATAAAGTCAGATGGCATCCGGGGACTGTATAGAGGGTTTGGACTTTCTGTTATGACTTACTCTCCATCTAGCGCTGTATGGTGGGCTAGTTATGGTTCAAGCCAGCGCTTAATCTGGAGGTGAGACATGGTAATCTGTTATCTTTTGACTCTAGTTCTGTTGATGGAGCTCTTTTATTCTAAGACTAGGCCAAGTAGGTGTCAGTAAATTTAGATCTTTTAAATGAGTGTCAGCAATATGTAATTGAGATTTTCTGTTGGACATTCTATTTTTACCTTAAGCAGAAATCTTCATTTAATGGTTTAATGATATGAGTTTCTTTGCCCTGTGACCATGACAAACACATTAAAACTTTGGAGGTGCATCAGTTTGATGGTTGTTTTAGGTGGTTTCCAGTTGAATGCGTTAGTGGAACATGATAATTATGTTGGAAAAAGTAGGAAGTACGAGTTGTTGGAAGTAATGATCAGTTACTATGACTTTGTTGGTTGTTAGGCTTTATTCTTAGATAAATGATCCGGTTGTATAGGAAGTCTAAAGTTCATTAAGCCAATGAACTTCTATAATTACTACTACTAAGGGCAATGGACTTCATTCCCTTTAGATAAAGAACTAAGGTGAAGGAGTTCAGGTGAATCATACCCTTTTGTCAAAATATCTCACTATTGCATTATTCTGGTTCATTAAGCAGTTTCTTAGGCCATGGAAGTGGTTCTGATGAAGCTGTTCCTGGCGTGGGGAAAATAGTGTTGGTTCAAGCTGCTGGAGGAATTGTTGCAGGTGCAACAGCATCCTGCATAACAACCCCATTGGATACCATAAAGACTCGGTTACAGGTATTCATATAACCAATTAATGTATGTGGTTATTTTGCTAGCTTGTAGCTTGCTTATCTTCATTTGACCAAGTTATTACTAATTTGGGTGTGTGTGTGTGTTTTTTTTTTTGGTGGTAATAATTATTCGTGCACTATAGGTGATGGGACACGAAAAGAGACCCACTGCAAGAGAAGTTGTTAAGGGCTTGATAAGAGATGATGGCTGGAAAGGTTTCTACAGAGGGCTAGGTCCAAGATTTTTCAGCATGTCAGCCTGGGGCACGTCAATGATATTGGCTTATGAATATCTGAGTATGGACTCTTACCTTTTATGCTTCCTTATCATATATTTTGGGTTTTTTCATGATCTTTCTTTCACATCATGTTTTCCTTACCTAAGATTCAACTTCTAGGCTCAAGTTTCTTTAAAAGTCATATATAACACTCTGTGAAGGGAGAACACTTATGCAATCTATATATTCAGGAATGATGAATTCCTCCTATTTGGCTTCTTCTTCTTCATTTTTTCCCTTCTTGAAAAGTCCTGCTATGTGGTTTCTCATGATACTTGCAAAAACCCAAAATTTGAAAATTGATTTCTATTGTTGTTTCCTTGTGTACTTTCAGAGCGCTTGTGTGCAAAAGATGAATAGAGGTAATTCTTCTTTCGGTCCACTTATCATGGAATGACAGGAATTTTGTTCTGACGTGGGCTGGTATTGAGCATTTCTGATGAAGGCTTTAGACTGGTAAATTCAGAATTGGGATTATGGAAGTTTTGATCGGGCGATTGGTCCTGATATTATTTGATGCTTTACTTACTAAATTTTGGAGAAGTCCTCAAATTCTTTTAGGAATTTCTCTACTAGATAGTAGTGATATCATTCTTCGGGTAATTGAATTTATTTGAGCTGTAGGAAGTGCCAATTTTTTCTTCTATAGCAAGTGTATCTTCACCCCGAGCAAGGAATTTGAACTTATTAACACAGTTCTTTTATAAATTTATTTTTTTTTGCTATATTGTCTCCTTTAGGTGTAGTTCTCAATAATTTAGAACACCAAATTCATTCACCAGAAATGATTGTAATTGTAAATGTACTTTTTTATAATTGAAATGTTTGATCCCTGAAATTATTGATGATTGTTACGTGTTAAACTAGTTATGGAGTAAATCAAAAGATATAATGAACTTCATCAAAAAAGATATAATGAACTTAAAACTTAGGCTGGACCATGGTGTGGCAAAATAGTAGTTTCCACTTCCCATGGTGAAATTGACACCAAAGCTTTCAACAAATCCCCACTTGGTTTGTTAAAAAACTTAGCAGAATCATCTGCAACGAGTGCAGTAGAATTATGTACTTCAGATTCATCATCATTGGCAAATTTACTTTAGATGGATGTGCATATTGAGCTTTTTATAAATTTTGTGAGAGAAAAAAACCCAAAGATACCAAAAGATATGCTATGTAAACTTGACATGGATGTCAATATTGAGCTTTTTATGAATTTTGTGAAATTAAAAAAACACAGAGATAACAAAAGGATGATAGAACTTTATAAAGTAGCGAGGGTGAATTTACACCAATACATGGATGAAAATCACCTCAAGATACCATTTACATCTAGTGGCTTCAAATTATTGGTCTTGGTTTTCTTATACTCTGACTGGTTTCTCCAATACAGCTGAGAAGAAGAGCTCATCTCCAAGCTTATCAGTCTTAGGTACAACCCTCCATAGTAATGGCTTGTAGCCTAACCTGTTAAACTCATCCAAATACAACTTCATGTCCTCCATATGACAGAAGAAGCGGTCTATCCAAAGAAGACCCTTTGGCCGAAGGACACGGTCCCAATCAAACAACACAAACTGAAGGAGTTCAATTCCTATCCAGCCATCCAAGAACGAAGTAGAGTGGATCATGTCAAGGGTGTTGTCAAAGAAAGGCAATCTTGAGCCAATTGATGTGTAAAGAGGAAGAAGGCCTCTTAAGGCAATGACCTCATTGAAAGGAGCCCCTAAGTTTAAAGTACTAGAAGCAATGGTAACATTCTTTTCCCTCATGATAGAAGCAAATGTTCCTGTTGTCGGGCTAAAATCTAGGCCGATTCTTATCTCCTCCGGCTTTAACCCTAGAAATTCATCAATGGTGAACTCTGCTGATTCAGACTTGTTTGTTGGAGTATCCCACCCTTTTTTTGAAAGGTTGAAGCAGTCTGAGCATTTGAAGAAGCCTCTTCGGTCCTTGGTTTCTTTGGAGACAAGGCAAGAGTAGTCTTTGCACTTGTAATTGTTCCATAAGATGTTAGCACCACTAGGTTGAGTCCAAAGGGAGGAGTTTATAGGAAATGGCTTGGTGTAGTGTGGAGGTGATTTTGTGAAGCATCTTCTTCTTGGTAATGGATCACATCCATGAACCATAAGCTTCTGAGCTATTTCCCAATCATCTGGGCATGTACTGTGAACCTTGTAACTCATAAACCGGTCTAAATTGGTGGCCATATTGGCACAAGCCAACCCAATCGATGGAGTTACTGCTTCTACCCCAAGAAAATTCTTCTTCCCAATTAGCCTGTTTTGTTTTGGTGAAGTGTAATTGTGAATCTCACCTGAACTGAAGACCTTCCCACTCATAAACTGTTCTTCAGCTTCCTCGGGATCACTGAAATCTTCATCGACATTGCTCATCTCAGCTTTAGCAGGGGGAGAATTCCTGTAGAGCCTTGATAAGCTATCTGCAAGTTTGTCCAGAGAAATGGCAATGTGAAGCACCTGATCCGAAAATTTCGCAATTGCTTTTGAGTCTGAACTTTCATTATGCAGCTGCTCCAGTAAAACCCCCAGTTGGATCTGCAAACGAGAGATATCTCCGTGCAGGGAATGAGGCAAAACAATTTGGTCATGGGAGGTATTGGCAAAAGTAGCAAAAATGGATTGTGGATATGAAACATTGAAGCCAAAAATGAAAACTGTGAGGGGGCTGACAAGGAGAATAGCACATAACATTGAGGCAAGAAGGCATCTGACTGGCTTAGAGGAGCTTTCCTTCTGCATTTCTAAGATGGGTTATTTCTCTTCCTTAAACACTTCTTCTGGGGAAAACAACCATTTGAACTGTTCATTCAATCTTTCAAGCTGTTGACTGGAAGAGTGAAGTTGGATCTAATTCTCTTAATTTTCTATTGCGTTTTCAATAATCCCTAGGTGCACGGTACCATACTTTATAGTCAGTTTTCTTTGAACCTAAGTCACCCCTCATAGCAAACCATCTTGATCTATGATAATATTAAACTAAATTTTTTGCCAACTTTCACATAAGTTTTCCCCATGCAGAGAATTTTGTACACAACTCTGCACAAAATTTGAAGTTTTTTTTAATATATTAAGTGAAATAAATTGAGATAATCTTTGGTTTTATTCACTAATAAACAGACTGAATAGGGGTAATGGCCAGATTAGGTGGAATTAGCATTTGATTTCTCAACTATAGAACTTGGAAGAACAAGAGCGCTTTATAACAGTTTCTCATATGGAACTCAATTAACACAAACTCAAACGACATTTGAGGGTTCCTGTGCATAAAGCACTTGTACAAAAACGAAGAATCAACGGCTATAAGAAAGAAAGAAAGAAGAAAACAAGAAAGATGTTGATCGTTTAAACTCTTCAAGACCACCTTCATAGGGGTTGAAGATGGCTGACTTCCACTTCCAGATTAACGGAAATATCTTTGTCCAAAATTGCGACTGATAGCACAAAGAGATGCATCAAAACCGCCCAAAACAAAGACAACAAATCAGTGTCTCTAACATATCATCATCATTGTCTGTAGTTTGTAAATGCAAGAGTCCACACTGCAAAAGCTATTGAAATACTACCTCTATTAATTACAAACACGGTCCTCATCTTCTTCTTCTTCACCTTCTTCATCATCATCATTATCATCTCTGCTTGCCTCTGCATATTCTTCAAGTGATGCAGAGGGGAACAAATCCCCAGCCTTGTCATCTTTGTCGGTTGCCGCTTTCGCTAAACCAGTAGCTTTGCCTGCGTTCATCTGTTGCAGTACAATTTGAGCTTACAAAGTATGTAACTTTATTCATAGACAATACAAGAAGCTCAGAAAAACAAATGGGTTTTCATTAGAGAACATACCGCACGTATCAGAGTCCTCCTATCTCTTTCTCGAGCATTTTTTATGGCCTGCACATTATAAGTTGATAAAACAAAACAAACCCATCAATCCCATTAGCCCATTTTGTAATGCAAACGCAATTGGAGAATTAAAAATGAAAAATAAAAACAAACCTCCTGAAGCTTTTTTTGCTCAGCTTCCACTTCCGAAGGGTCTTTTCCAACGATGCGTTCGACACGGCAACAGCACTTTGCACAAACACCTTGTTCCTTGGCACAAGCAGAACAGAGTTTATGGTGAGACTGACGAACGGCGCGCTTGGTACAACGTTGGCACTTGGTTGGCTCCGTTAGGGTCTTGTACTTGCCGTAACGGCGTTTCCATTCGATCTGCTCCTTACAGCGAGGGCAAACCCCCGTTATCTCCGACAGCGGCCTGAACCGGCCTCCGACCTCCGTTTCGTTGATTTTGACGCCGAGGTTCGGCTTCCATGCGAATTTGTTTTGGTGCCTACCGTTCATCATAATTCCCTACACTTCTCAGAGCAAATACAGCTTACGACTTTGAAAATGCAAAGCAAAAGCAATCAACTGTGCTTTGGGAGTTGCAGAAATTCAATTCATATGCCCAAACCAAAAGAAAGAGAAGAAACTCTAGGGTTTTAGCGAAGGCAGAGAAGAATAACCCGATTTAAAATTTGGGTTTCCTGACCCGAATTCGATTTGGATATGGGCTGTCCTGAAAATGATTTGGGGTTTTAGTTTTGGGTCAATTTAGGTCTTGGGCAGGTAGACATAAAGTAGCCCAACAAATTTTGGGTTGGATTTTGAAATTAAAGTCATGCTATTTTCACATGAGGTAATACCATCTTTGATCAAGAATAAAGGGCATCAACAGTAAAATTAAATGTTTGAAAAAAATAAAACATTGTGACGTAGAACCCAATTAGAGCATGGCACGTAGGATCTATGGTTGGGAGTACAAAGTTCGTATGCCGGCATTATCATCACCGTGCAAAGCTTGTCTTAGGAGACTTTTCTACTAAAGAAAGGATATAATTAACTACGCAATCTCCACTACTTGTTGTTTGGAAAGCGAAGTATGCATAGAGACTTCTGCAAACGACTGAATTCGTCAACTCCACTGCCCTGCTGCAGCTGCTACTGTTTTTGATCGAGAATCTTTAATTTAGAAAATATATGCAGTCAGAGGTTTGACATGCAAGTCTTGGATCCATGCCTCCACTTTTGCTCAAGAAATTCAATAATATCACAACTCAAAGTTGAAGACAAAGCTCATTTAATCATCAGAAAGATTGGCCCTGTTGCATGGTTGAAACAGTCTTATGTTATACAGGACAAGTGCTTAAAACATGAGAATTTCTCCAAAATTAGGAATTCAATTCCTAATTTGGTGTGAGTTTCACTTACTTTTTAATTCCTTGATGTGAAGTAAATGTAAGAATCTTCTATAGGTGGAATTCAATTCCTGATTAGTAAACACACCATCAATCCAAAAGAAATCGCAACGGTATTTTCAGAAATAGTTTTTCAATTTAGAGAAAAAGAAAAAACTTTGGAAAATAGTAGAAGATGACAAACTTCTTTTGCATTTCCAAGCAATTTCTTCACTCACTTTTTTTTCCCCAGAAAATATATGTATGTCTTTGATAAAATGAAATCTTCACTTACCCAATTGACATGACAACCAAAGCCTTACATATGGGCGCAAAGTACAAGATCTTTCACCGTGATGTGAAGAGCACGAACATCTTATTGGATGAGACATGGGTGGCTAAGGTTTCGGATTTCGGGCTTTCGAAAATGGGCTCCACAACCGTGTCCAAGACCCATATCAGAACAGTGGTGAAGGGTAGTTTCAGGTATTTGGACCCAGAATACTATTGTCATCAACAGCTGACGGAGAAGTCTTATGTGTACTCATTTGGAGTAGTGTTGTGTGAGGTATTGTGCGCCAGCCCAGCTTTGATATGTACGATGGAGAAGAAGCAAATGAGCTTGGCTGAGTGGACCAAAATCTGTCATCGGAATGGGAAAATTGATCAGATCATTGATCCGAGCTTGAGGGGTAACATTGGAAATGCGTGTTTGAATAAGTATGTTGAGATCGCAGTGAGCTACCTCCAAGATAATGGGATTGAACGGTCTTCGATGAACGACGTGGTGTGGGGGCTTGAGTTTGCATTGCAGCTTCATCAACAGGGCGGATGAGGAGATTCGAATTTGAGCGAGGAGAAGAAGGGTAAAGATGAGGTGTCGTTAGTGAATGCTGCAAGTGATGCATGGTTTAGTTGTAGCTAGGAAGACTCGTCATTGGAGTTGAAGTTTAGTAAGGTGACCAAGAGTCTTAGTGATCACAATTCTTCAACCAACGAGTCCATAAAAGCAATGTCTGGGACAGTCTTCTATGAGATTAACGATCCCAATGGAAGATGATTGCCCAACAATTTTTAATGGAATTCATATATATATATATATATATATATATATATATGTATGATAGTATATATGCTACAATTTGCAATTCAATTTGTAACTTTGTTGTTTCTTAAATTCCATGAAATTAAACTTTCTTGCAATTGGTGTTTTTCTTTTTAAAAAAATTTATACAAAATAGTAATGTATTCGTATGATAGTATTGTGACATTATATAAAGTGAGGATCGTTATTAACAAATAAAATAATCTAAGTTTGATAAGCGCAGTCTTGTCTTCTCAATCCTCCATTTTCTGTTGCCAACTAATAAAAACAGGGCATCAACATGACAAATGTTCGAATTGAAAGTGATCATCATTGAGAATGGTAGTTGCAACTTACAATTTCACATCAACACAAAATAAAACTAAGTTGGAAGGAAGAGCATTACGAACTAGAGGATGAAATGCATATGCTTCAAATTATTTGGTTATACATGGACAAAGACAATGCAGCATATATACATATATTTCCTCATTAAAAAAAATATATATATATACATATATTCCATTTCAAATTCGAATTAAATCAAACACCATCAAATCAAAGTCTTCTCTCTTGGTCTTTTATATATCTAAGACGAAGACTTTGCAAGTCATCTGGCCCTAGTCATCTGAGGCTGATAGAATCAGCTGGTCGCAGACTTTTCTACTAATCAAGACAACAGGAGGGTACAATTATTACAATTCCCAATTTGTTGTTATCTCAAGCTCCACCAGAGAAACTTCCCAACATTCTCACATTTCCATCTCTAAGTCTTTCTACCTACGTCATCAATGACGAGATATGAAAAGGGTAGAGAGTGGGGATCACATATGTTCTAGTCAATTTGCACTCCACAACTTCCAACCATTGCAAATTGATTGTGGGGTTGGAATTTTGAACCAATTGGTAATGGGGGATAGTGACTCAACCCCTTATAAGCCTTTACAAAATTGTTTAACTTTCCGATATAAGGTAATTCTTATCCTCACACGATGCTACATGTGTGGTGAATTGGAGTGGGGAAGGGAGGCTGCCGCCAATGGGGCGGATGGCTGCTAGGGATTTAATTGCTTCTGGCAAATAGAACAATGTGAACAAAATCAGCATTTGTTATATAGTTGAATATGAATTGAACTTAATTTTTTTTGTCCTTTGAACAAATATATGATTAATTATATTTTGCAACGCACTAGTTTGGATTTCAAATTCTCAACCATTATGTGCAGTTTTGTAGACTAACTTATTCGTATCAACTATAACTTGCGATTTTAGGTCAACAAAAATAAAAGTTTGAAATGAGTGCATCAATTGGGGTTATTTCCAAGTATGTATATGGGAATACTATCTTTGTGGATCCGTATGCAAATGCTTTTCTGTTTCTTTGTCGTATACAAGTGCTTAATTGGTACTTCGCAAACAGATTAATTTGGACAAGATCATGCCTCAAGAATACTAACTAGGCACGTTTTGGATGGGCGCGTGTTTGAAAATAAGACAACGTGTACATTACAGTCCCCAGTCTGTTCTCTTATTATATTTTGAAAATTGTAATCCAAAGACTTGTTAATTGTTCCAAGTCCACGGCCAACCCAAAAAAGAAGTTTAAGTTGTTATCAAAGTCTCTATTAAATTGACAGATGTTGATCAAGAATCTTGAATTTATAGTAGATGCAGCCAAAAGCTTGACTTGGAAAAGTCTTTGATGATCATATGTCTATGTCCCCACTTGTGCCTTAATTTTACTTGAGGGGCACCTTTTAGGATCTCGCACAAATTTTTTTTCAACGATCTAAACAATCTATTTTTTAAGTTTACATTCATAGATCATCCTTACAAAAAATTAGACAAATCGAAAACCGTTTTAACCGCTTTAAGAAAATACTAAAATTTCAATAATTCAATTGATATCGGATTCAAGTGATTTTTTGTAAAGATGATCTTTGAATGAGTATTTACAAAATAAACGGTTTGAATGAATGAAATACAACATGGAATGGGCCCTACAAAATCAATAAACACGATGCTTTAAGAAAATACTAAAATTTCAATAATTCAATTGATATCGGATTCAAGTGATTTTTTGTAAAGATGATCTTTGAATGAGTATTTACAAAATAAACGGTTTGAATGAATGAAATACAATATGGAATGGGCCCTATAAAAATTTCCCTCAAATAAGTTTATTTGTCAACCAAAGTTATATATATCATGAACATGTATATAATAACCCAACCATCAAACAAACACCTTGAGACAATTACCATGTTGTTATCTCAAGCTCCACTAGAGAAACTTCCCAACCTTTTCACCTTTCTATATCTGAGTCTCTCTACCCACGTCATTGATAACGAGATATGAAAAGGTCAGCAACAGTGACACAAATTTTTCATGCACAAAACTTAGGGCTAGTTTGGCATTGTTGTACTTTTAAAAAAAAACTGCTTCTGCTGTGCTACGAAAATAATCAGCTGTGAAAAAAAGCAGCTAGGCGTTTGGTAAACTGTATATGAAAAACTGCTGTGAGTAGTCAAAGTGTTTGGTAAATTTTTATCAGAAGTGCTTTTAGTATGTATAATTACCGAAAAGGGCATGATGATGAAACTGTTTGTTTTTTTCTTCATTCTTTTTCTACTTTAAAAAAAAAAAACAAACTTCACTACATAAATTTGTTTTCTTTTTTTAATTTACACTATTTAATTTATCAAAATTTGTAATCTACAATTAGCACACATATATTACCATAAATTATAAATTAATATTGTAACAAAAGTAGTTCTAAATAGGGAGTTTCACTAAAACACCCAAAATAGGGGCTGAAATTATAAAAAAACTCAACACTCAAAACACTTTATAAACACACCCAAAACCCATCATTACACACACTCAAAACCCATTTATAAACACACCCAAAAAATATACAATTGTTGATTTTGTGGTTGATTTTGGGTGTGTTTCTATGTTTAAATAGTGCTTGGGTTTTTTTATAAATACATGTCTAGGATTGGGTTTATTTATAAATTTGTATTCTAAATATTGTTATATTAATAATAACAATGTGTTTTGAGGACTTCGGAGGCATAACAAATATACAAAAATTGTTCAATTTTAACATGCCCAAATAGATCACTACAATATAAAAGAAGCTAATTAGATGCATTCATTAAACTTGTAGGGATGTTATTTCTCAATGCTTCCATCTCTTGTGTTCCATTGTCATTAAGACTATGAAGTTCTTGTTGTACATCAACATCCTCATCTATCTCTTCACTTAAGATATCATTTGAAGCATCAAAATGTCTATCACGTTGGGCATGCCTCCTTATATAATTATGAAGTGTCATTGTAGCAATGACTATCTTCACTTGCATATTATGGTTATTCCATGTCGCTGGAGCTTTTGATGAACTTCCCACATTCTTTTTCATCCTTACTAAAGCAATATGTGTTGAGTATGAGAAATAGAAAATAGCAAATAATTGTCCTAATATACATTATACTAAAAGCATAAAAATAGCAAACTTTCCTTTTCCCACAGGTATGAATATTCATCTATATTATCCACTATATGCTATATGTTTAAAAATGATGACGGCTCCCAACAAAACTTCCTTAAACCCACTTCTCAATCTCAACAAGGGACAAAGAGTCCAAGCATAGAGTATTCCTAATGATTTATGAAAGAAAACCAAGAACAAGAAGAATCCACACATGAAAATAAACTGATCACCTTCACAATTGACATAAGAACAAGAACTATATAATTTTCCTAATCTTTAACATATATTACTTGAGGAACTAGCAAGCCTATTTTGCCAAGAGGAGACAAAGATAACATAAAGTCTTAGCCAATATTTCCAGCTTCTAAGGCAAGATGATATTGCATTCTCATAATTTACTGAGAATGTAATTTCATACCAATTTACAAATTTTTTATATTTCAACCATATGTCAGTTTATGAGTTCCCCACCACAATGACCAGCATGCTACAATCACTTTTGATAAAGCCCACCAACACAAAAAATATAAATAAAAGGAAGAACTTCAAACCATTACCCAATCCAAAATCTTCTAACACAATAATAAAGTCCACCGACACTAAAAAATAATAATAAGGAAGAACTTGAAACTATGACCACTAAAAAATAAAAGCTTTGTTTATCAAAAATCTTCTAACACAATAATGGACAACAACTTAGATGGAATAGCAGTTTCACATAATAGGATTTTTTTAATTTTTTTTTTCATTCTTGAGAAAAGAGAAGCCCCCAAATCTGGAGCTAATGGCTTCTTCACTCTTTTCTTGTCTTCTAACTAAAAGAGAACTAAAACTAAATTTGAGCTTGAAGACAACAAGGTTAGGGCAATGGAAAAATCAACACGGACCTGACTTGGGGACTTGGGTTGCAATCATATATATATAATATAGATTTTCATAGAACTAGCAAGCCTACTCTGTCTCTCCCGTGTCTTCCCCCTAAAGCCCCAAGAACACAAATCCCCCAATTTCCTAGAAACCAAACAAAAAACCTAATTTCATAACATATATAAACCTAAAAATCATAAATGTAATGGGAAGATGAACTCACTGATAAGTAGCTGATTGTTGTCGGCAATTAACGTCCTTGATTGAGATGGAGTTTTGAGATGCAGGGGGAGGAAGAAGAAGAACAGTGAGAAGAGCAGTCTGTGAGAGTGAAGGTCAGAGAGTGTGAAGTCGCGAGATCTATTTTTTTAGAGGGTCAAATGTTGT